TTTGGTAACTTGAGCTTCATGAATTGTTCCATGAGACAGTTGGAAGAGGAAGTGGCTTAGTATTCCTCTATTCGGATCCGAATAGGTCTATCCGATCTAATACATTCTCAAATACTGGTCCACCGCCTCACATGTAGCTTCACCGTGTGAATTCTTCTCCCATGGAAGCGGTTGTTGAGCTGCACCGGACCAGGACTGCTACCAAACCTTCTTCACACAGCACCGTCGAGCACGGCCCGCGGGTTGTACCACAAACCTCCAGTGTCGCCTCTCAAAGTTACCAGGGAGCACTGCCGTCACCGAGCCATAGGTGATATTTTCACACCATCCAACTCTACCTCATACTTCTTAGGGAGCCGACAGACCTCCTCCTCTGTTAACGCATGGTTGCTGATGGAATTTAAAGTCTCTGGAGGCCTATACCTCTCCAGAACGGGTAAACGCCTGAGCGCACCTCCGCTCAGGAGGACGGTAGTGAGTCAGATCTCCCGCTTTCCTCTGCAGGGCGGCTGACGTCATGCTACGTCACACACGGGGCCACGCTAGTGGTCAGCCTGGCCAAGCCCCCGCCGCACGCCCAATCACACCACACCTGACGTTGTACCAAGCATGCACTCGGGGGGGTTCGCCTCGAGCAGGACAACTTTCCTCTCTCGCTAACTGCACCGCCATATTGATGATGGAGACGTCCCCGAGCCTTATTCCCCCCCCCCCCCCCCCGAAAAAAAACATTCTAAATGTATTCTTATTGCAGCTTCTTGCTTCCTTTAAAGTGTTATAAAATTAACTAAAACTTCTGGTTATTTAGAGAGAGGGAATTATGACTCTTATATGCGGGAATATGATAATACAGACTGAACTCCATAACATATGACAGAACTGAGCATAAGTACAGGACCAAGGCGTCTTTAGAGAGTAAAGGCAGAAAGGAGTGTTTACAAGAAAGATCAAGCAATAAGATGATTGGAATCTGTAACATGACAGACCGGAGCTTAGGTCCAGCTCAGCAATGCTAGGTCCATATACAGACAGTTCTACAATGTGATCACAAGACACTTCCGTAATTTACAGCAATATACACAACAGGTCACACTGATGGACACTGTCTGCTGCTACAGTCGGTTGAGACTTCCTCGCCACACAACACCACAGTGACGTAAAGGTCGCCACACAACACCACAGTGATGTAAAGCCACACAACACCACAGTGACGTAAAGGCCACACAACACCACAGTGACGTAAAGGTCAACACACAACACCACAGTGACGTAAAGGTCAACACACAACACCACAGTGACGTAAAGGTCGCCACACAACACCACAGTGACGTAAAGGTCACCACACAACACCACAGTGACGTAAAGGTCACCACACAACACCACAGTGACGTAAAGGTCACCACACAACACCACAGTGACGTAAAGGTCGCCACACAACACCACAGTGACGTAAAGGTCAACACACAACACCACAGTGACGTAAAGGTCGCCACACAACACCACAGTGACGTAAAGGTCGCCACACAACACCACAGTGACGTAAAGGTCGCCACACAACACCACAGTGACGTAAAGGTCGCCACACAACACCACAGTGACGTAAAGGTCACCACACAACACCACAGTGACGTAAAGGTCGCCACACAACACCACAGTGACGTAAAGGTCGCCACACAACACCACAGTGACGTAAAGGTCGCCACACAACACCACAGTGACGTAAAGGTCGCCACACAACACCACAGTGACGTAAAGGTCGCCACACAACACCACAGTGACGTAAAGGTCGCCACACAACACCACAGTGACGTAAAGGTCAACACACAACACCACAGTGACGTAAAGGTCACCACACAACACCACAGTGACGTAAAGGTCAACACACAACACCACAGTGACGTAAAGGTCACCACACAACACCACAGTGACGTAAAGATTAAGTGACGAACGGCTCCCACCGCAGCTGGTGGAGGGCGGGCATGCGGCACCGCAGCTGGTGGAGGGCGGGGCATGCGGCACCGCAGCTGGTGGAGGGCGGGCATGCGGCACCGCAGCTGGTGGAGGGCGGGGCATGCGGCACCGCAGCTGGTGGAGGGCGGGGCATGCGGCACCGCAGCTGGTGGAGGGCGGGCATGCGGCACCGCAGCTGGTGGAGGGCGGGCATGCGGCACCGCAGCTGGTGGAGGGCGGGCATGCGGCACCGCAGCTGGTGGAGGGCGGGCATGCGGCACCGCAGCTGGTGGAGGGCGGGGCATGCGGCACCGCAGCTGGTGGAGGGCGGGCATGCGGCACCGCAGCTGGTGGAGGGCGGGCATGCGGCACCGCAGCTGGTGGAGGGCGGGCATGCGGCACCGCAGCTGGTGGAGGGCGGGCATGCGGCACCGCAGCTGGTGGAGGGCGGGCATGCGGCACCGCAGCTGGTGGAGGGCGGGCATGCGGCACCGCAGCTGGTGGAGGGCGGGCATGCGGCACCGCAGCTGGTGGAGGGCGGGCATGCGGCACCGCAGCTGGTGGAGGGCGGGCATGCGGCACCGCAGCTGGTGGAGGGCGGGGCATGCGGCACCGCAGCTGGTGGAGGCCGGGCATGCGGCCAGAATCAATAGAGCCACACAAGAGGAGACGTCTGGTATTGTTTCTGTTAGGCTTCTCGTCCCACTTACCTCTAGTGTCAGGTGTCATCCCCGCTCCTCTTGACACAACCCAGCTGGTGTGTCAGGTGTTATCCCTGCTCCTCTTGACACAACCCAGCTGGTGTGTCAGGTGTTATCCCTGCTCCTCTTGACACAACCCAGCTGGTGTGTCAGGTGTCATCACTGCTCCTCTTGACACAACCCACCCAGTGTGTCAGGTGTCATCCCTGCTCCTCTTGACACAACCCATCTGGTGTGTCAGGTGTTATCCCTGCTCCTCTTGACACAACCCACCTGGTGTGTCAGGTGTCATCCCTGCTCCTCTTGACACAACCCACCACAGTGTGTCAGGTGTCATCCCTGCTCCTCTTGACACAACCCATCTGGTGTGTCAGGTGTCATCCCTGCTCCTCTTGACACAACCCACCTGGTGTGTCAGGTGTCATCCCTGCTCCTCTTGACACAACCCACCTGGTGTGTCAGGTGTCATCCCTGCTCCTCTTGACACAACCCACCTGGTGTGTCAGGTGTCATCCCTGCTCCTCTTGACACAACCCACCATCCCCGCTCCTCTTGTGTGTCAGGTGTGCTCCTCTTGACACAACCCACCTGGTGTGTCAGGTGTCATCCCTGCTCCTCTTGACACAACCCACCCAGTGTGTCAGGTGTCATCCCTGCTCCTCTTGACACAACCCACCTGGTGTGTCAGGTGTCATCCCCGCTCCTCTTGACACAACCCACCTGGTGTGTCAGGTGTCATCACTGCTCCTCTTCTGGTGTGTCAGGTGTCATCCCCGCTCCTCTTGACACAACCCACCTGGTGTGTCCGGTGTCACCCACCCACCTGGTGTGTCAGGTGTGTCACCTGGTGTGTCAGGTGTCATCCCTGCTCCTCTTGACACAACCCACCTGGTGTGTCAGGTGTCATCCCCGCTCCTCTTGACACAACCCACCTGGTGTGTCAGGTGTCATCACTGCTCCTCTTGACACAACCCACCTGGTGTGTCAGGTGTCATCCCCGCTCCTCTTGACACAACCCACCTGGTGTGTCAGGTGTCATCCCTGCTCCTCTTGACACAACCCACCTGGTGTGTCAGGTGTCATCCCCGCTCCTCTTGACACAACCCACCTGGTGTGTCAGGTGTCATCCCTGCTCCTCTTGACACAACCCACCTGGTGTGTCAGGTGTCATCCCTGCTCCTCTTGACACAACCCAGCTGGTGTGTCAGGTGTCATCCCTGCTCAACAAGACACAACCAACTAGATGGAAAGATAGATGGATGTAGAGATAAATGGACAGATGGACAGATGTTTTGAGGGACAGACAGATGGATGGATGTATGTATAGATAGACAGATAGTTGGATGAATTTGTATATGGATAGATGGACGGATAATTATAGATAGAAGGATATGTGGATCAGTAAATTGGTTGATGGGTGGATAGATGAATAGATAGACAAAAAAAAATATATGGATGGAGTGCCAGGTGAACTGATAAATAGGATAGTGCATGGATGGATAGATGGGTGGATGGAAAGATGGTTAGATAAAGGGATGGATAGGTGGATAAATAAACAAATAGATGGATAGATGTACAGGTGGGAGACAGACCGACACTGACCAACACCGGGCACATCCTATACTTGTTGACTCTCAGTAACATGTGTGACTGTGTGTGTGCCTGAGGCTGGAGGCTGGAGGCTTGGCAGTAACCCCTCCTGACTTTGCACTATGAATGGGCTCGGGTATGGGACTATCATAGACTGGTCCAGGTGGGTGTAACTGGCCATAGTAAGAGGTTGTCCGGTCCAATGGTGTCAAGTGTCATCCCGTGAAACTGGTGGAAGGTGGATTGGCGTTGCGGAAAATACTTGAAAACGATGAATGTGAAATCAGTTTTACATTTTCTGATTTCTCTGCGACAGAAACGTAGAGAGACAGTGAGATAATGGGAGAGGAAGGGGAGGGGTAGGGGGAGAGGTGGTGAGGGTAAGGGAGGTGCATGAAGAGCGGAGGAGAGAGGCATGTTGGAGAGAAGAAAGGCGAGGGGAGAAGAGATATATATGGCAACTGGAGGAGATAGGTGGAGAATATGGGAGAGAGGGAGATGCAAGGAGAAGGTGGAGAAGGGGAGAGAGGGTGGAGAGGTGAGAGAGTGGGAGAGAGGGGATTATTGGGGGGTGTAAGGTGGAGAGGGGATTATTGGGGGGTGTAAGGTGGAGAGTGGATTATTGGGGGGTGTAAGGTGGAGAGGGGAAAAGGTGAAAATGTTGGTGGGTAAGAGAGGGAGGAACAAGGGAAAGAGAGCAATGAGAAGGGGAAATTAGGAGAGAGGGAAGAGTGGGCGTAGCTGTGATCTTTCTCTCCAGTATTTTGTACATAAATTTCAAAAAGGTTTTCTTCTTAATACAAATACTTATTTCTTGCAAAAAAAAAGATAAACAGGAAAAAGGGAAGTTGATATAACTGTGAAAGAGTGAAGAGAAGCATTGAAATAGAACACAAATGAGAAGGAAGGGGCTTCTGGAAACAACATTTATAAAGAAGGTCACTTTCCCTGCCTGATATTGCCTCAAAAAACCTAAATACCCAGACTTCCTGATGACGCAAATGGCGTCATGCAAAAATTTGTGCAATGTACAAACATTGTGAGAGAGAGTTTAACACTGGGTGTTGTGCTCCCCTGGACTGCTCGGCCTACCTTCTCCTGCGTGTTGGGCGCCCCGCCGGGCCAGCCAGTGTTATGGAAGGGAAAGTAGTTAGTGGAATGAGAGGATTATTAAAACAGGAAACAACTTGCAAAGCTGTGACAAAAAAAGTGACTGTGGAGAATTTGGACAAAATGTGGACCTTTGCTTCAACAAATATTTTCTTTATTTTTCATTTTTGCAGACATCTTGTGGTAGGATAGTACATATTAGTACTACCAAAGTTTAGGTTCTTACACCTTCTGATAAGCCTATTAGTAGGACACAAAAATATATAAATAAAACGGACTTTTTATAGAGCAGTTTCACAGGGGCCTGACAGATGAGTGGACAGCGCTCGGGATTCGTAGTCCTGAGGTTTCGGGATCGATCCCCGGTGGAGGCGGAAACAAATGGGCAGAGTTTCTTTCATCCTGATGCATCTGTTCACCTAGCAGTAAATAGGTACCTGGGAGTCAGACAGCTGCTACGGGCTGTTTCCTGGGGATGTGTAGCAAACAGGAGGACTGGTCGAGAACCGGGCCGCGGGGACGCTAAGCTCTGAAATCATCAAGATAACTCATATATAAATTTGAGAGTCTTATATGGGATAAGAAAAATGTTAATGCTAAAATGTCACACAAATATTGATATGAAAAATCTATATTTATAGAGATGAATGACTTGAGAAGCCCGCCTGGTGTTAGCGTGTAATGTATGGAAATATACAGGTGTATAAACACACCCTATACAGTGCACAAACGTTTATGTATTATGTGTTTTATGCATACAACATCCAGGATGCTAAATTAAACTTTGCGTCAGTAGTGTACATGTGAGTTATGCCTCTACTGTGTACGTAGGATATGACGAAATACCTAGAGATCGAAAATCTTTAAATAAATATATCTACAACACACTAATATCATACTGAAACACTTCGAAAGACATAAAGTGTTTTAAAACAACACTATTATATTACCATTATATGTAGAAAACAATGAGCCATATGAACTAGATTACACAGTGGATTTAAGTAAGTAGTGAAAATGAGACGAGAGTATTGGACCCAACCCCTGCAGAACTCGGCGAGGCGGAGGGTTGTGGTGAGACCAATGGTGCCAGAAACTTACAGAACCCTCTCCAGGCATGCTTCGGGTATGCTCCAGGTATGCTCCAGATATGCTCCAGATATACTCCAGGTATGCTCCAGGTATGCTCCAGATATACTCCAGATATACTCCAGATATGCTCCGGGTATGCTCCAGATATACTCCAGGTATGCTCCAGATATACTCCAGGTATGCTCCGGGTATGCTCCAGGTATGCTCCAGATATGCTCCAGATATACTCCAGGTATGCTCCAGGTATGCTCCAGATATACTCCAGGTATGCTCCAGATATACTCCAGGTATGCTCCGGGTATGCTCCGGGTATGCTTCAGGTATGCTCCAGATATACTCCAGGTATGCTCCGGGTATGCTCCGGGCATGCTCCAGGTATGCTTCGGGTATGCTCCAGATATACTTCAGGTATGCTCCAGATATACTCCGGGTATGCTCCAGGTATGCTTCAGATATACTCCAGGTATGCTCCAGGTATGCTCCGGGTATGCTCCAGGTATGCTCGAGATATGCTCCAGGTATGCTCCAGATATGCTCCGGGGACAGGAAGATACTAAGAAATAGTAACATTCTGTTAATATGGTTAAGAACAGACCCGCCTTGTCCCTGTTCCATGGACTTGGCTGCAGAACCGTGCTACATTATATGTAAAAGTGGAGTTGCCCATTAATCTTGTATTAGATAACAGAGTCTGGGATGTCTGGACTGTGGCGTGGAAGATAACACTTGGTCCAGTCCCACGCCTGAGAGTTGCCCATTAATCGATAACACTTGGTCCAGTCCCACGCCTGAGAGTTGCCCATTAATGTTGTATTAGATAACAGAGTCTGGGATGTCTGGACTGTGGTGTGGAAGATAACACTTGGTCCAGTCACACGCCTGAGAGTTGCCCATTAATCTTGTATTAGATAACAGAGTCTGGGATGTCTGGACTGTGGTGTGGAAGATAACACTTGGTCCAGTCACACGCCTGAGAGTTGCCCATTAATCTTGTATTAGATAACAGAGTCTGGGATGTCTGGACTGTGGTGTGGAAGATAACACTTGGTCCAGTCACACGCCTGAGAGTTGCCCATTAATCTTGTATTAGATAACAGAGTCTGGGATGTCTGGACTGTGGTGTGGAAGATAACACTTGGTCAAGTCACACGCCTGAGAGTAATGTCCAGATATAAACCTTCATCAATGTTCTAGTCCCACGCTTGGATGTTATTCAGTAAGAGTCACTATGATGCCAAAATGCTAATATTTAATGCTATCACTCTCGGGATATTGTTGTAAATCCAAGTGGATGAACAGTGCCAGAGTGTAATTTGGCAACAATTATTTAAATTACAGCAACACTTTTCTCGCTATGCTGGGAACATTTTATGTAGTTCTCTGTGATAGCCTATTATTATTATTTTTTGTGTAAAAGGTTATTTACAAACCATACACAGTATTTTATTAAATTTTTTCAATTTCTATAATCTCCGTTGTGGAGGAGGGGAAGGGAACTATCAGGAGAGAGCGCCAAGCCATTACGGCTGTATAGCAACGGGAAGGGGTCAGGATAAGGATTTGGGATGGGACGGAGGGAAGGAATGGTGCCCAACCACTTGGACGGTCGTTGTGGATAAATAATTAGAATTTTCTGGACTGGAAGCCATTCACGCATTTGGAAATAAGTAAAGTAAATGGCCTGATAGAAAATGTTTGATTTTTTTTTTTAAATTCACACTTTTGGATAAAGTAATAACATTAAATCTAAATTCTTAACCTAACTTCTAATATAAAATTAAAATGACTTCTCCTCAAGGAACTTAACTGAAGTAGCGTTCCTAATTATTATTAATGTAATTTTAACCTATTCAACGCTAATTATAGCCAGCCTATTGTGAAGGTTTTGGGATGTGTGATGTATACGGCTCATAATAATATATATATATTCCCTCTAATGCGTTATGCGTGGTTTCCTCCAACGCTATGGGTTCCCCTTCTTCCAGCAAGAGGTGGTACTTCCTTCCCTATATATTATATATATATATATATACTGCCAGGTAGACGTTCCAGGTATAATATATATTACTCTATGTGACAGTGTCACACCACGGAGGAAGAATTGAACAGGAACTTCCTTAATTCCTTCTGAAGATGTAGTATTAATATACGAAAGTAATTAAGGAAATTCCTGTTCCAATTCTTCCTCCGTGGTCAGACACTGTCACATTTTTCATCACGTGTTAATTTTCGTGATTTACACACATTACTTTTTGTATTTAGTTCACATTTCATTTTTCTCTGAGACATCTCATTCATGTATTTTTTATTTACCAAATGAATAGAGTCTTACATAAGTAGAACAACAAGTCCTCCTAATAGAGCGTCGCATTTTGACGTATACTCTCCCTAAGGCCAAAAATCGTCGTACTAGAAAACGTTAGCGGCTCGCGAAATTGACATTCTGTCCGTTTTCTGTTTTGGGACCTCTGGTAGGTTAGGGATAAGGACACCTTAGTACGACAGTTTCTCGACGTTGGGACACGTAAGGAGGACGAGGTGAGAAGAGTGCCCGGCCGACCCTTGCACGACCAAGAGTGCTGCTGACCCACAGAGTGTCAGGAGTGAGAGTACGAGGGACAGTTGTGACACTCGCGCGCCTCTCACTCTACGACTGGACGGTCTTAACATTGTCTCGACACTTTTGAACGAATGAGAGAATGTAGTGAGGAAAGAAAAGTAATTTGTATGAATTTAATGCTTCATAAATTAAATTAAAGCCTAGATGAAAGTTTGTAAACTTAGTGGGAGTGTGGAGAAAGATTTATTTGAGTCAACATCGACACGGAATGTGGAAAACAAGAATAATGGTGGCAGTTCATTCAGGGAAAATGGTTTATCAGCAAGAAGCGTAACAACTCACAAGGAACATTTTTCTTCAGATCTCTGTCCCAGCTAAGATGCTGTTCATGAATGTCATCAAGAACAGTATCAAATTCTTAATGAGAATTATATTAATGATGATGATTCTTCAATTTCATTTTTCTTCCCCCCCCCCCCCACCCAACCCCCCACCCCCCTCTCTCTCTCCATAGCGTGTGATATATGCAGTTATTACCGAATTTACCCCAACAAAATATGATAATTTTCTGCCAATTAAGAATAATTTGTTATTTTCAAACAAAAACTGCAATACGATAATATTACTAAATACAATTTATCTGCTAAACTGATGGTAATCTTTAATACTAATACGAAGTAAATGGAAATATTGTGCAGAGATATATGAGTTACCAAATACACACACACACACACACACACACACACACACACACACACACACACACACACACACACACACACATATACACACATACACACAGGGGAGATATGATCACCACGTACAAGACTCTCAAAGGAACTGACAGGGAAGATAAAGACATACTATTTAACACAAGGGGCACACGCACTAGGGGATTTTTTATTGTCAAGAGTGGTTGACAAATGGAATGCATTAGGAAGTGATGTGGTGGAGGCTGCCTCCATACACAGTTTCAAATGTAGATATGATAGAGCCCAATAGGAGTCAGGAACCTGTACATCAGTTGAGAGCTCATCCCCCGCAAGCACAACGGGTACAACTACATTGAGAAACGGGACTAATCGATACAAAGAAACTGAATGTGATAGGCTGTTGGTCCTGGCAGACCGAGGACCTACCGGGACCCCTTGACACCGGGGACCTACCAGGACCCCTTGACCCTTGACACCGGGGACCTACCAGGACCCTTGACACCGGGGACCTACCAGGACCCCTTGACACCGTGGACCTACCGGGACCCCTCGACACCATGGACCTACCGGGACCCCTTGACACCATGGACCTACCGGGACCCCTTGACACCATGGACCTACCGGGACCCCTTGACACCATGGACCTACCGGGACCCCTTGACACCATGGACCTACCGGGACCCCTTGACACCGTGGACCTACCAGGACCCCTTGACACCGGGACCTACCGGACCCCTTGACACCATGGACCTACCGGGACCCCTTGACACCATGGACCTACCGGGACCCCTTGACACCGTGGACCTACCGGGACCCCTTGACACCATGGACCTACCGGGACCCCTTGACACCGTGGACCTACCGGGACCCCTTGACACCATGGACCTACCGGGACCCCTTGACACCGTGGACCTACCGGGACCCCTTGACACCATGGACCTACCGGGACCCCTTGACACCGTGGACCTACCAGGACCCCTTGACACCGTGGACCTACCAGGACCCCTTGACACCGTGGACCTACCAGGACCCCTTGACACCGTGGACCTACCAGGACCCCTTGACACAGTGGACCTACCGGGACCCCTTGACACCGTGGACCTACCGGGACCCCTTGACACCGTGGACCTACCAGGACCCCTTGACACCGTGGACCTACCGGGACCCCTTGACACCGTGGACCTACCAGGACCCCTTGACACCATGGACCTACCGGGACCCCTTGACACCGTGGACCTACCGGGACCCCTTGACACCGTGGACCTACCGGGACCCCTTGACACCGTGGACCTACCAGGACCCCTTGACACCGTGGACCTACCGGGACCCCTTGACACCGTGGACCTACCGGGACCCCTTGACACCGTGGACCTACCGGGACCCCTTGACACCACCTTTTGACACCGTGGACCTACCGGGACCCCTTGACACCATGGACCTACTGGGACCCCTTGACACCATGGACCTACCAGGACCCCTTGACACCATGGACCTACCAGGACCCCTTGACACCGTGGACCTACCGGGAACCCTTGACACCATGGACCTACCGGGACTGACACCGTGGACCTACCAGGAACCCTTGACACCATGGACCTACCGGGACCCCTTGACACCACCTACCGGGACCCCTAGACACCGGGGACCTACCGGGACCTCTCGACACCGTGGACCTACCAGGACCCCTTGACACCATGGACCTACCGGGACCCCTTGACACCGTGGACCTACCAGGACCCCTTGACTCCGTGGACCTACCAGGACCCCTTGACTCCATGGACCTACCAGGACCCCTTGACACCATGGACCTACCGGGACCCCTTGACACCGTGGACCTACCAGGACCCCTTGACACCGTGGACCTACCAGGACCCCTTGACACCGTGGACCTACCAGGAACCCTTGACACCGTGGACCTACCGGGACCCCTTGACACCAGTAGTAGGGTGTAAGCGCCAGCGGCTCCTTTTTTTTTCAGGCCAGAGGACCCCTGTGGGGTGTAAGCGCCAGCGGCTCCTTTTTTTTCAGGCCAGAGGACCCCCTGAGGTGTAAGCGCCAGCGGCTCCTTTTTTTTTTTTCTGGGAAATATCGTGTCTGTAAGCCAGGGTTTTCAGGTAAATTTTGTCAGTCACAGATTTTAGAAGTATGGAATTCTTATGAGAAAAATAATTTCCGAGACATAGAAGTTTGTTAAGGGCTTATGGGAGAAATTCAAGTAACATATGTAGCGCTTTAGGGTTTCCAGGAGAACTCTACGGACATATTTTACATGTTTTCAACTTACAAATATCGTCTATGTAAACCATAGTTTTCATATAAATTTAGAAAATCACCTGTGTAAGTCAGGGTTTTCAGGTATCATACCTCACACCCCCTCCCTCCCCCCCTTACCTCGCAATCTCTCGCGTCACCTTTATTTACCTTACGCCCGGCCAGCCAGACGCTTCGTGTAGGTCTCCTCTTATCATATCTTATCTTTTCTTCTCCATAATATCTGATCCGTCCCTCCTCTCTCTCTCCTTTCATTCAGTTCAGCTATTTTCCAACATCGTATGTTTGCTCCTTTTCATTAAGCAAGTCAGTTTTACACAAATAAATCATGTTAGTAAGCATGTTCTAGCTCACGTTCCCCCGCCTTAGTCCCCTGTCGTATAATGAATACTATCATTCCAATCCCTCTAAAATTTAAAAATAATCATATTTCAAACGTAGTTCAATACAGTAATTTAGTTACCAAGCTCCAGCGCTTGTCCTCCGCCTTAGCTCATGTCCTCGCATTACTTCCCTCGCACATCTTGTTTATTAACCCCGTCATACCTGGTAAATAAGATCAAGTCAGTTACTGAGCTCCAGCTCTCGTCCCCGCTTTAGTTCTCTTTCGTATCTTTGTAAATAACCCATCAATTCCCCTGAAATTTTTTTACCCTCTGTATTTCAGGCACCGTAAATAAGATCAAAACAGTTATCGAGCTCCAGCTCTCGTCACCCACCTTAGTTCATTTGTACAAGGTCGTTAGTAACAGATCAATTCCCCTGAAATTTTTTACCCTCTGTTTTTCAGACACCGTAAATAAAATCAAGTCAGTTATCGAGCTCCAGCTCTCGTCCTCCACCTTAGTTCATTGTACTAAGATCGTTAGTAACAGACCAATTTCCCCGAAATTTAAAGCAGACATATTTCAAAGTTAGTAAATAAAATCAAGTCAGTTATCGAGCTCCAGCTCTCATCCCCCGCCTTAGTTCTCTCTCGTATATTTGTAAATAACCCATCAATTTCCCGAAATTTAATAGCAGACATACTTCAAAGTTAGTAAATAAGATCAAGTCAGTAACTGAGCTCCAGCTCTCGTCCCCGCCTTAGTTCTCTTTCATATCTTTGTAAATAACCCATCAATTTCCCTGAAATTTTTACCCTCTGTATTTCAGACATAGTAAATATGATGTAAAAAATTATAAAACTCTAGCTCTTGTCCTCTGTCCAAGCTCACTTTTGTAAATTCATTACGATCAGTCCAAATCCCCCATAGATTTAAACACCCAACTACATTTTCAGACATAGTAAATAAAACCAGTTCAGTTATCAAGTTTCAACTCTTGTCGCCCCAGCTTAGTTCATTTTGTACAAGTTCTTTATTTCCAACTAAATCACCTAAGATTTAAGATCACCTTATTTCTAACGTAGTAAAATTAATCTGGGCATTAACCAAGCTACATTTCCTCTGTCTTAGATCATCAGACATAATTATATCCGACCAAGTTCCTCTCCAGCCTATCTGTTTATCAGAATAATTACATTACCCTCCCCTCCCCAACATACCCAAACCTTCAATAATCATACTGTATTTGCATATTTTCTCTATATTCAGCTGTGTTCTTCACTTTTTGTCCATGTTTTCTGTGTTCATTCCATGTTCTACAAATGTTCACAGCATGCTCAGTTCAATTTTTTTCTGCCGTTTTCCCCGTATGTTCACTATGTTCTTTGTCATGTTTTCATGTGCATCATATGTTCTCTGTATAACTTTTATACTCAATATTCATGTTCTCAATGTTCTTAGCGCATTCTTCACATTTTTCCATGTTTTTCTGCATTCATTCCATGTTCTATAAATGTTCACAGCATTCTCAGTTCAATTCTTTTCTACCGCTTTCCCCGTATGTTCACTATGTTCTTTGTCATGTTTTCATGCACATCATATGTTCCCTGTATAACTTTTATACTCAATATTCATGTTCTCAATGTTCTTAGCCTGTTCTTCACACGTTCAGTGTTCATTCTTTGTATTCCCTATGTTCCTTATCATGTCTTCATAATCTCTATAAGTTCATATTCCCTGCATGTTCACTCTATTCATCAACTTTTTCTTACATGTTTTCTGTGTTCACCGTATGTTCACTGTGTTCATTCCCCTACTTAACCTCAATTTTTTATGTTCTTTGTTTCTTCCATTCACTAACTAGTTCTTTGTCAAATAATATTATACTGCATTACAGTTCCCTCAACAATTTTAGTCGCCAAGTTTTTATTTGCAAAACTATGTCAAAGTAAATCTCGTAGTCAACTTATTAGTTCTACCAACCCCCCGTTCGTAAACAAAATCTACACTTTATTCAGTTCCAAATTTACAAAGACAAACCTTTCTTGCAACTTCTTAACTAAAAATGTTTCGCCAATCAACTAAAACATAGTCACTTTCATCATTTCTTAACTAAACTTATTCCCCAGTCATCAGAAAATAACCGTGTTCTTCATGTTTCATTGTCATTTCTTATCTAAAAATTATTCATCGGTCAACTAAAAATAGTTACTTCATCATGTTTCCTTGTCATTTCTTAACTGAAATATCACTTCTCTCATCTGAAAATAGTCAGGATTAATCTCATTCAACACCGTTCTTAACTAAAACAGCCTTTCGCTTAGCTAAAAATTATCAAAAGAATCTTTTCAGCACAACTAACTTTATCCATCGTCAAGTAATTGAAAATAGTCTCGTTCATCATTTCGTAACAGCCATTATGTTTTCGTCAAATAAGAAAATATAGTCACAGATATCTATCATCGTCATTCTTAACTGACATTATACTTTGGGGAGCACTAAAATAGTCACTGTCATCATGTTTTGTCTTTTTCCATAACTAAAAGTATTCATCGGTCAACTAAAAAATAGTTACTTCATCATGTTTCCTTGTCATTTCTTAACTGAAATATCACTTCTCTCATCTGAAATAGTCATGTGTAGCCTCTTTCCAACACTGTTCCTAACTAAAGTAGCCTTTCACTTCGCTAAATAGTCATATTCATCATTGTTCCTAACTAAATTATATGTCGTTAAGTAAGAAATATAGTCAAAGACACTCTTCGATGCATCAAGGACTTACTCAAAGAAATCAAAGTTGCACTCAAAGACATCCTTCGAGACATCAAAGACATCCTTTAAGACTTCAAGGGGACTCATCGAGATATCAAAGACTCTCTCAAACACTCAAAAAATTTACTCGCATCCTCAAAGTATTTTCTCGTTCATCAAAGTTAATCTCAGAGTTAACAAAGGTAATCTCTAACTCACTTTCGTTCAACATATTAATTCGCTAAGTCCTCAAAGTTATTCTCTAAGACAACAAAGTCTTTCTCAGAGCTATCAAACTTGTTCTCAAACTCATCAAAGTTATTCACAGAGTCATCAAAGTTAATCTAAGACATCATTTTTCATCAAAGATATTCTCTCTAAACCATCAATGTTCTTCTCTAAGACATAAAAGTTATTCTCAGAGTCACCTTCGTTCTTCAGAGAAACTTTCCAAACATCTTTGTTCATCAAGTTATTCTCGGAGTCATCAAAAGGTATTCTCTAACTCACTTTTGGTCATTAAAGTTAATTTCTATGGTATAAAAGTTTGTCTCAGAGGTATCTAAAGTTAATCTTAGAGTTCTCAAATGTAATCTCTAACTCACTTTGTTCATCAAAGTTGATCTCGGAGTTAACAAAGGTAATCTCTAACTCACTCTCGTTCATCAAAGTTGTTTCAAAGACATCAAAGTTAATCTCAGAGTTATCCAAAGATTCTCATGTCCACAAAAGTTATTCCAAGAGACGTCAAAGTTAATCTCAGACATCTTCGTTCATAAAAGTTATTCTCAGAGACATCTAAAGTTATTCTCTAAGACATCAAAGTTATTCTAAGAGCTATCAAAAGTTATTCTCAGTCATATGTTATTCTCTAAGTAACCTTCCATTCATCAAAGACATTCTCTAAGTCCTGAAAGTTATTCTCTAAGACAGCAAAGTTATTCTCAGAGTCATCAAAGTTATTCTCTATGTCATCAAAAAGTTATTCTCTGAGCTAACAAAATACTACTCATGTTCTCAGAAGTCATTCTCAAACTCATCAAAGTTATTCTCTAAGACATCAATGTTGTTCTCTAAGACATCAATGTTGTTCTCTAAGACATCAAAGATGTTCTCTAAATCATAAAAGTTAATCTTTAAGTCACCTTCGTTCATTAGAGAAACTTTCCAATCCATATTCGTTGACCAAAGTTATTCTCAGAGTCATCAAAGTGATCTCTAATTCACCTACGTTCTCCAAAAGTTGTTCTCTAAGACACCTTCGTTCATCAAAGAAACTCTCCTTCTTCCATCATGTTATTCTTTAAGACATCTTCAGTCATAAAATTTCTCTCCAAAATGT